GAGCCACACCTCAATGTTGGGATTTTGGCCAGAGATTTGTGGCAATAAATAGTAGACATTTTTCTGGACTTGTTTTCTGAGCATATTGTCAAATTCAATAAATCTGGATTAACTTTATACTACAACAAAGTCCATGCCCTCATGCAACCTATGTTCTAGTAGGGGACAGACAGTAAAGTAATCAACATTTGCTCTAATGTCACATGCTGACAAGAGAATCAGACAGTAGTGGGCTGTTTTACAAGATGGTCATAAAAGGTCTCTGTGGAGGTGATATATATACCAGAGACCTACATTGAATGAGGGAGGGAACCATATAAACATCTGAGGGAAGGATTGCTCAAGAAATGGAATAGCAAGTGCAAAAGCTGAGAGGCAAGAACAAGTTTAGTGAGCTCACAGAAGACTGAGAAGACCAGTGCCAGCAGTAAAAAGAGTAAGAGGAGGTGAGGCAGGAGATGAGATAGGGGAGGTAGCTGGGACTGAGAGCTGTTTTAATAATTTTTGTGTCCCTGAGCTTAGCAGTAGCTTTCCCTGAAGCCTGTGGTCCACCAAGTAGTTGAATCTGAGTCTCCATTAAATATTTGGATGTGACCAATAATAGCTTGAAATAGTTAACGCAGGTTTCCAAACAGCTTATCTAACTTGTAATAGAGGAAGAGAAACCAGTATGTCAAGAGACTGAAGTGGTTTGTCTCGGAGCTTTTCCCCACTGCCTTGTTCTCCCACCATCCCTAAAGACAGGAAGATTTATTGTCTCCATTACCGAAGGAAGGAGCTGATGCATACCCTCTAGTCATGGAGTAGATAGAATGGTGGAGCTCATGCCCCTCCCCCAGCCTGTGGGCTCTCACTCTCACACATTCTTACTCTGGATAATCTCATCCTACTCAAGCCCACAAAGCCTGCTTCTTTTTTTAATTACAATTAAACAATTATACAACCCCATGATGATTTGCACTTATTTTATTATTTTATTTTGTTTTGTTTTGTTTTGAGAGAGTGTGCATGCGCACACATGAGCAGGAATGGGGCAGAGAGAATTTTAAGCAGACTCCACCCCCCAGTGCAGAGCCCGATGTGGGATTCAATCTCATGAACCATGAGTTCATGACCTGAGCTGAAATCAAGAGTTGGATGCTTAACTGACTAAGCTAGCCAGGCCCCCTGATTTGTACATATTTTAAATGTCAGCTGAATCATGTAGCCTGTATCTAGACAACTTATGATATTTTTAAAGGATAGAGAAAATCTCCCATCAATCTCTAATTTTTCACTTGGTAAAAAAATAAAAATCAGATGGGTTTTAACATCTATTACCCAAATAGAAATGTGATTTCGTTCTAAACAAGCATGAGATTCTATCAAGTCTCTTATTTTTCCACAATCAGGGTGGAGGAGATACGGAGATGCTCATTAACTCATTCCCCAGCCATTCTGCTGGTGAATGACTGATCATCACAAGAGTCTTGATGATTTGGGGACACATCTGAGTCCTTGTAGCTTTCCATTTTTGTTCACAGCCTTACCTTCTGAAGCCACCCAGAACCATCTGTCCCTTTCCTCTCACCTTCACACAGCCCTTCAGATATGCAGGCCACCCATGCCAACGTCTCCTGGTGGCCCTCTGCCCATGAACAAGTATCCTCTGAGCTCTCTCCAGACACCTGGGTTCTGGGCTCCTCAGCTCCCAGCATGCTGCTCTGCCAGGATTCATCAACAAGTAGTTCCATTAAACATGGTGCCAAGGATTAAAAATGACTCCCCATGTGTCCTCACCGGCACAGAGAAGTGCTATTTAAGCTGTTTTCCCTGTTTCTTCCTCATTAGGTAGTGTCTTTTTTTTTTTTCTCTCAGGCTCCTTGCTTTCCACAGTCCCTCGCTATTTGTGGATAACATCTAGTGATTTCCCTGCACTCTTTCCTGAAAATGTAAACAGGCTCAGTGTTCAGTACCTAATTTTCTTTTTCATGCCTCATATCCCTTTTTCGTTCCCCGACTTGAAGCCTTCCATTTGGGCATGTGTTTCGTCTTTAAGTGTGTGGCATTTGCTAGAGTGATCAATTATCCTAGGTAATTGCCCCTCATTTGAGAAGCCCTATTCTTTCTCATTAAAAAACAGATAAGACTACTTCCTCTCATTGACCAGGTGCACCAGATCTCTTACTTAGCCCCAATTTGCCATTTGGCAGTTTAGTACTATTAGAAAAAAAACCAAAAAACAAAAACAGAAGTAAAACCAAGGAATCACTGAAGTAGTAATTAGGGAGAGTTTATTGTGCACACACCAAAAAGACACTTGGCAAACCCAGAGCACTCAAACCAAAACAAGGCATGAGACTCAGAGTATATTGTTACAAGCAGCTTACATACTATGTGGCAGCAGTAACTGTTGATTCTTCACAGTGATTGGTAACAGTATTATAATTTTCTTAAATGAAAGAGAATTGCTTAGTGGTTACCTCATATCAATCTGGGGGAACAATTTAAGTTTCAGTTATGATTTTCCGAGGCAGAAGCAAGATATGACCCGAGTTATTAGCCTCGTTTGTCATGCAAAATAAGCTACATTAAGTTCTGCTTGTAGGACTGACGATTATCTGCTCAGGAAATTTTCAAGCCTGGTCGCCATTTGTGTTTGATTTTAACAGTGCGTGGGAGCTCCTTCACTGAGGGGCCTCATCTGAGTGGTTTGTGCTTGCTTAGTGGGCAGCTGGCCCCTCTGTTCTGTGCCATTTCCCCCCTGAGCTCTTTCTTCTGGGGTCCCCCAGGGATCTGCTAACCATGCAAGAGAGAACACTTTTTTGTGTCGTTGGGGGAGTCATATCTTTACAAACCCAGTTAAGCTTTCTCTCCTAGTTCCCAGGTATCTTGGTAAAAATTGTCTGTCTACTTTGTCTTTCTGATTGTAAAATGAGGCTAATGGCCCTTTGTCATTACTCCTTGGGTACCCTGTGCCTTTTAAACTCCTCTCTCCAGGGCCTCATTTATTGGTTAAATATTATTGCTGCTGTTATCAATGTGATTTCTTCTTGCTTATTAAACACATCCCCTAAAAAATATGTGTGTTAACAGTTCCTGTGCTGCATATATAAGAATTCAGATGAGTCAAAAGTGGGCATTCAGAGAGAGTACACTCCGGAAAGCTAACTTAAAATTCCAGTCAGCAGCCCTTTGGAGATGTAAATTGAGGAAGCAGCTCTCCTTTTGGACAGCTTAATGATCTGTAGTTAATAGTAAGAGGCTGCCGGGCAGCTGCCATACAGCTGGGCTTAGGTTGGCCTCTCTCAGCTCTCCAAATTGCCCCGTGATTACAGCCATTGAGATTCAGAATCCTACCCTGGATCAATAACCAAAAGCACAAACAAAGATCTGGCAGTGGCTTGTCAGTGTGGCCTTTTCTGCACACTGTCCTCCCCAAGCCAGTGACTGATGCCTCTTCCCTGCTCCTGCCTCTGGCTGAGAGGTTGCCTACATAGCAACTAGCTCCTCTGGAAAGTCTAGGATAAAGGATGCTGGATTTAAGGCCAACGTCTTCTCTTCAGTGCCCACAATTTCAATGAATTTGAGAGAGACTGAATGTATAATCTCTTGGTAGGGAAATATAAGGCTGGGAGCCATATTATACTTAACTCCTGGAGTCCGTTGGCTTGTTTTTATGCCTTATATGTAAAATTGGTTTGGATTATTGTCTGTTGGGATAGTAGGTCCATTTATAATTTCCAGAGTCTTATTATCTTCATTTAGAAACTTAAGTGGGAGCGCCTGAGTGGCTCAGTCAGTTGAGTGTCTGACTCTTGATTTTGGCTCAGGTCATGATCTCACGTCATGATATCAAGCCCTACATCCGGCTCTGTGCTGGGTGTGGAGCCTGCTTGGTTTTCTCTCTCCCTCTGCCCCTCCCCTGCTTGCACACACACACACTCTCTCTCTCTCTCTTTTCTCTAAAAAAGAAAAGAAAAGAAGAAAAAAACCTCAAGTGAATTCAACAACCACCACCACGAAACAAGCAAAGAACTTGTATATACATTTCTTTAAAGACAATGTACAAATGGCCCATAAGCACACAAAAAATATTCAACATCAGTAATCGTTAAGGAAATACAAATTGAAACCTATAATGAGATACCACCTCCAAACCATCTGAATAACTATTATCAAAAAAACAGAAAATAACAACTATTTGCAAGTTTAGGGAGAAGTTGGAATCACTGTACACTGCTGGTAGGGATGTGAAATGGGTCAGCTGCTATGAAAAATATTATGGCAATTCCTCAAAAATAGAATTACCATATGACCCAGCAATTCCATTTCTGAGTATATATCCAAAAGAATTAAAAGCAGGGCAGGGCTCAAAGAGATATTTGTACACCATGTTCATAGCACCATTATCCCCGATGGTCAAATGGTGGAAACAACCCAAATATTGATGGGTGAATGGACAGACAAAATGTAGTGTGTACATACAATGAATAGGATTTAGCACTAAAAAGGAAGGACACACAGGCTACAACATGGATGAAACTTGAGGACACTATGCTGAGTGAAATAGGTCAGTCACAAAAGAACAAATACTATATGGTTCCACTTACATGAGGTGCCTAAAGTAGTCAAATTCATAGAGACAGAAAGTACAGTGGTGGTTGCCAGGGGCTGGGGGAAGGAGGAATGAGGAGTTATTGTTTAATGGGTGCAGAATTTCACTTTTGCAAGATGAAAAGTTTCCGGAGATGGATGGTTTATGATGGTTGCACAGCTACATAAATGTACCCAAGGCCACTGAACTGTACACTTACAGATGGATAAGGTGGTAAATTCTATGTTTAGTGCCTCTCACCACAGTTTAAGAAAACAAAAGCTCAGCAGAGGGATGCCATCTTCTCTCAACAATCCAGGTTTTTGAGGGAGATTAAAAATAAAAGGAGGGAAAAAATACCAACTAAGGGAATGGCTCTTGAATTTACATGCAACTAATTACAAACATGCCTTTTTTTTTATAGAGTCACTTTTCTCTCAAAAAGGGGGCTGCAGCTCTGGGGATTGGAACAGACAGCGTGATCCTGATTAAATGTGATGAGAGGTGAGTGTGAATCTGCAACCTTTGTTGGTTGGCAATTTGCAACTTCCACATGTATTATCTTTTAGTCCAAAAATAGGCATTGACTGGAGGCAGCAAACCTGCCTCCATCCCTGCTTATCTTTTGCTGTTTCTTTTCCACATGGGCTCTTGCTTGGAGTCCTGGGATGTTGTTCCTCAATGCCATGGAGCCTTTCATGGCCCTTGACTGAATTGGAACCTTGGTTAAATCAATCAAAATATTCTGCACCAAGAAGGTACAGAAAGACATTCATCACCTGGGCACTTAAGCAACAACCAGCCATTTGAGCACTGATTTATGGACATGTCATCATTCTAGGTGCCACGATTGTGTGAACTTGATGGACTGATTACAGAAGGAGGACAGTTTAGTGAGCAAGAAGTAAATGATGCCCCAACAACTCATTCACTTTGTGCTGGAACCAAAGGGCTCTCATAGGGAAAATCCCTGCCTTGAGAGGCACACGAACATCATAGGTACTCCGGAAATAGAGTTAGGGAGCTTAAAAGGCATTTCTAGCATATCCATGTAAATTTTCACTAGCCTATAGGTCTGTAACCTATAAAAACTTAAATTTAGTCTCTAAAAAATTAAGAAATTTCACTAAATGAAAAGGAAAGCTACTCAACCATTTATTTTTTCATATGTATTTATTAGACAGACATTTATGATGTCTAACCCACCATGTCATGAGGCTTCAGAAAGCGTAAGGCATAATCCTGGTTCCCTAACAGTATATGATCTAGGAGAGATAGAGCAGCACCAGCAGGAGACACTTACAGGGTTGAATCGTGTGGCAGAGTACATGTTCTGTACATTGGTAAGGTTTGTAAGGCTCCATGCAGCAAGTAGGACTTGTGCTTTCAAAGCATTTTCAAAGCTAGGGATGAACTAGATGGCGGGGAGGGGAAGGCGAAGGCCATTATAGAGGATTGAACATACCATCAAAGCCCCGGAAGGAGGAGTCAGCTTGTGGGGCTCCAGGAACAGGATCTGACCAGAGGCGTTGAGAATGGACAGCCATGGCAAATCCAGTGGGCCATGTGGATTTTTCAAAGCTCAACAAAACAGATTAAAGACACCTCTCTCTCTGGAAGGGAAAATTACAAGGGATTGCCACTTTCTTGTTCACACCTTTACATCTTGCCTGACCTTATTTGATTGCTCACAATGAACATGTTACTTTTTACAATCAGAAAAGGTGATGTTTTCTTTTTCCTTGTTAGGGAAGGGGGAATGCTAAACTTAGCATTTGAGTTTGATGGGTCAGTAATCAAGGTAACCTGAAGGCATTTTTATCTGAGAAGGGCATGATGGAAACCATCCTTCAGGAAGTAGGGACAGGAGAGTCCTAGGTCAGTAGGGCTGGGCATGAGGCTCTGGCAATAAGATGGGTGGGAAATTATAAAGAATGGAACAAGCACATTTTGAGGAAGGAACTGAATATGTGTGCGTGGGTATGTATATATATATTTTTTTTCCACCAAAAATTTTTTTAAGTTTTGGAGTTTTTTTTTTTTTTTTTGAGAGGGAGAGAGAATGTATGAGTGGGGGAGGGGCAGAAAGAGAGACCAAGAGAGAGAATCCGGTTGTGGGGCTTAACTCATGAACCGTGAGATCACTACCTAGGCCAAAATCAAGGGTCAGCTGCTTAACAAATTGATCCACCCAGATACCCCAAAAACTGCTTATATTTTTGAGACTGCAAGTACTAGAAGGTGCTTGAGAACTGAGATTTAAGAAGAAAACTCACAGCTACAAAAACCTGCTAACCAGGAATAAAGATTTAGGTGACTAACATTTTTCTTAATTTGTAACCAACTCTTGTGCTCATGTCGGCAGCACACATACTAAAATCTGTAGCCAACTCTTATAAGGAGTTTAGAGTTTGAAGAAGAATCATCTAATCAGGCCCTACTTACCTGACCTACTCAGTCTTCTAAGCTAGCTTGGTCAGCAGGTGCTCTTGACTTGAATTCCAGTGGGCTGGCGGATGACCCGGGAGAACAGAAGGAACTCTTCTCTCCACTTCTCAAGGCATTGATATTAACTGCTGCTACTCCTATTAGACTCAGGTTTTAACAATGCAAGGGGCCTTGGGATGAGTCCCTCAAGCCAGCCAACCAGGCACTCCCGGGAGCCAAAGTCTGGCCTGATGTCTACTAACTGAGGGCAGCATCATGTTCCAAAGAGAAGTGTAGGCCTGGAAGACGGAAGAACAAGAAGGAAAAGCAAAAGTGTTGTAGGAACAGGGAACACAGACAGGACTGCCAGGAAGAAAGGCCAAAAGATGCCTGTCATTCACCAACAGCAGAGAGAGAAGCAGAAAGCAGAGAATGCTGGGAAACCAGGGGGGTCTAGAATCAGTGACTAGCCAAGTGACCTTAATTTTTAGGTCAAAGAATTTTATATCAGCAATTTTAAAAGCCATTAGAAAAACTAAATCACAATGTTAAAAATGATTGTTGTTTTTTTTTTTTCCACAAAATACCATGCCACCCACCTTCTGCCTCCATACACCCATTGGGAGGGTACAGAGGGAAAAGACCACCAGGAAGCTAGGGCTACAGGGACCTTTTCTCCTTCTGCTCATGAGCCTTATGGGATGGGGAAGGGAGGAGAGAGACACACAGGAAGAAGAAGAAGAAAGAGAAGGAAGAAAAAAAATAAGAAGTAAGAGGTGAGAGAAATAAGGCCTAGGAGAAAAAAAAAAATTGGAGTGGAAGTATGAACTGAAGCAAGGAGGAAGGAAATATAATTGATCCTTGAAAACATGGTGCTCCTGATCCCCACCCCCATCCTGTATTGTCGAATTTACATATAACTTTTGTCACCCCAAAAACTAAACTACTGAGAGCCCACTATTGACCAGAAGCCTTACTGATAACATACACAGTCAACACATATTTGGTATATTATATGTATTATATACTATATTCCTTCCATGAAGTAAGTTAGAGAAAAGAAAGTATCATTAACAAAATCAGAAGGAAAATACATTTATAGTACTTACTGTATTTATCAAAAAATACTCATGTGTAAATGGACCTGCACAGTTCAAACCTGTGTTGTTCAAGGTCAGTGGGTAGAAGGAAAGGTGACTGGGAGCAGGAAGCACATGAGAGCTTTAAAGAGGAATAAGTGATCATTTTTATAATCTGAAAGGGAATAGGTGCTTACTTTAAAAAATACAAAATGACAGGGAAAAATTGTAATTCCACCACCCGAAAATTATCACCAATGCTAGTATTAGTCTTAACCTTGAATCTCCTTTTCAAATCATAGAGGTTTGGGGTTTTTTTCTTTTTCTTTTTTTAAAAAACTTTGTTAATGTTTATTTATTTATTTTAAGAGACACAGAGCAAACAGGGAGGGGTAAAGAGAGAAGGAGAGAGAGAGAATCCCAACCAGGTTCTGCACTGTCAGCACAGAGCCTGTTGCAGGGCTTGATCTCACAAACTATGAGATCATGACCTGAGCTGATATCAAGAGTCGGTATCAAGAGGCAGACACTTAACCGACTGATCCAGACAGGTGTGACCCTCTTTTCCTTTTTTAACTTATGTATTTGTGATCATGTTTCTTTTTCTAACTGGACATGATAAGTATTTTTCCACATTATTACAAACACACTTAACTACGTAGTATGTGAGGAGTGACTATATGAGAAAGCACAGTAGTGATAGTACTTTGAAGGGCCGGCTCCAGAGCTGGACTGTTTGACACCCTATCCTTTGTGTCCCCGCTCCAGCACCAGCTTGGGCAAATCCTTATCTGTCTCACTTTTCTTATCTGAAAAAAAGGAAGAAGGAACGGCCCTGCTTCATAGGGTTGCTCTGAAGATTAAATGTGTTCACAAATGTAAAATACTAAAAATTATATGTAGTAGAAAGCAAGCACAAAATATTACTCCCCTCCTGTTCATTTCCTTTTTTCTGGTGTTGCTGTTATAAATAACCCTTCTATCCTTCAATAAAAGTTCTAATGTGCCCAGAGCTTCTCCATTTATGATTATTTCTTAGTACAGTTGCTAGCTTAAATTATATAAATGTTCTTAAGGAAAGTGATACATCAGACTATATTGCCTTTCAAAAGTTTTTGCCAGTATTTTCTCCTAGCAGTATTGTATGAGAGCATGTTGGTGGAAAAACTCAAAGCTGTGTTGGTAGTTAAATGTAGTCTTTAATTCTATATTGATAATTCACATCTCTATAAGATGAGTTTAAGACTGAGAGCTTGGTCTAATGGATTAAATGAAATTGAAGTGTTTGGGGTCAGGAGCCAAAGAGCAGTCTTTGGACAGTCATACGTGGCCACCCTTCCAGCTGGAATCAGTTAAAACATGCTTGGCAGCCATTTTGTTTTATTCTTTCCCCTCCTTGTGAAAGTCAGATGCGTAGTGCAGAAAATTACTTGAGGCTGACAAGGTGCATACCTGGATCTGCTCTGGAAGACATTCATTTCTTGCAGTTACTCTTTCTGACTCTGCACATTTGTCTGTCAGTGGCGGGGGTGATAGGCTTTATCTTGTTCTGGGCAGACAGTTAACTTAGTAGGAAGCTCACAATAAAGGGAAATGTCCTAGTGAAGAATAGTCTGTGCCTTTTTTTTTAATGCGTTTATTTTTGACAGCAAGAGAAACAAAGTACAAGCAGGGGAGGGACAGAGAGAGAGGGAGACACAGAATCCCTGTGTCTGACTCATGCCTTGAACCCAAGAACCATGAGATCATGACCTGAGCTGAAGTTGGACGCTTACCTGAGCCACCAGGTGCCCCTTACCTTTCTAACAACAATCCCAAAGCCACATGTGGAATACTGCAAGATACTGTCTCTTAATTAGTAATCACAGGGGCTCAGTTTGGTAACCCATTCAAAGTGAAACATAGTTCTCAGTTAAAACAAAGAAAGAGAACTATATAATAAATTTTCATTTATTTGGAAAAGGTTCTTTCAGAGTTGAAAAGCAAAAAGCATATTTA